CGGTGTCGCCGTGATTGAACGACAAGCAGCGACGGTGGCGGTGACAGAGCACCATGCACTGGACCAGGGACGTAGCGTGTAGGCTGAGGAACGTGTGCCCGACCAACGCCTGGTTCTCCCGGGCGACGTAGAGGGTCCCACTCGCCGCAACGCATGCTCGTCGTGCAGTGATTAGCACCGTGAGAATTAACAACCCCAAACCCTCCATGGCAGGCAACGCCAATTTCAAGAAAACGCGAGATGCAACGAAGCACAGGACGAAATCTGTTCATTCACACAGCACCCATCACTAGCGGCTAGCCCACTCAGTGGCAGTTTTTTTGTACGTAGCTAGTTGTGTGGTACGTCTTCACTGCCTTGCCGAGTGCCGACTGATGAAAGGCATATTTCGCTTGCTGCACTATTTTAACGTTTAATACGGTGTGACCACGGTTATAAAGTAAACGCGAGCGTTAATTAGGTACGATTGACAACCTTCATTTATCACGGGGTGGACGTGGCGCCACCTTCGTTGAAATATGGATAAAAAGGTTAGCAACTGAAGCCAGCGTACTTTATACGTGTACGTTCTTATAGGACCATCCAAAATGGTGGCTGCGGGTGGCCAACTGCCCAATACATGTGTATAGCTCGCGCCCGAAAATGGCGGCCATGGGCTCACAAAACGGTTTCAAACAATACACTACCAGTATCACTATCAGATAATGACAAAGCCCTTCAAATGCTTCTCTACATAACGGATTTAGGCCTGCAATATAACTTTAATAAACGTATCGGTGGGTGGGCGTGGACATCGGGGAATTTGTTTACATAGCCGTATTTTCTTGAAACTCAATGGTTCTTGTCTTGAGTCTGGAGTGCTGAATGGTAATACATAGCAACTAATGAAATCTGCCGGTGTGCAAATGAATAGATGTTTTCATCGCATGACGTCACTCCGCCATCTATCTTGCCGTCATATTAAATAACGCTCGATGTCTTTAAACAAAAAAGTGCAGATGCGCGTATGCAGTCCGCCATCTTGGAATCTTTGTTATATTTTGTAGCTTTCCTGAAATAGCCTAAGTCTGATACATGTACAGGAGAAATGCAATGGCCACTACGTTCTATATACCTGACCTGGTTAAACTTAATGTCGACATGCAACTTTAACAAACTTTAGAAACAGTTAAAATAAAAGGACTTACGCTCAGTTTTTTTTGTAGCAATCGTCAATCTGAAATTCCTGGGCCTATTTCCAACGACAGAGGGCGCTACCTTGCGACAGACAATACTAGCGCGTGGACGAGTTGAACACATGCCTATCATTTATCAAGTATCATTACTACTGACTCTTACCATAACCAGTAGGCAAAATCGTCATAGTGTCTACACAAAGCCAACTGTCAAGCATTTTAACTGCATAAGTTTCAAGTACTGAAAAGCAGGGCCCCTCATAGTTGCCAGAGACACTTTCAAATTCAGTGAAAATCGAAACTCATCACCCCACAAACTACAGTGTGTCATGTATGGCCTTGTGTAATAGCGCCCTCATGTGGTTACTGTATTATTGATGTAATCGATAATCAATAAGACAGTAACCACATGAGGGCGCTTTTACACAAGACCATACATGATGCAGTGTATGTACAGTATGTTCAAAAAAGTAGGCAGGCGTACAGGCAAGTACTACGTGTACAACATTAAAACTTTGTAAGAAGCTGGCGATGGCACATCTGAAAGTAGTGAAGCATAACATTATATCTCAACCACAAAACAATTAAGTCATCGAATCTTTGGGTTTTTGGGGCTGAATATTTCGATCCTTGTTATTGATTGGTTTGGCAGTATCTACGTTTTGAGAGTTGTCTGAACTTGAAGAAAATGCAAGGAAATTAACTACATATCAATGTGAATCCCTTCCGTCACTAGGTGGCGCTCTTGCTCTTGCCTATCACTTTAGTTTTCCCCGCTGCTTGTATAATCGTTTTAGGGCTGGAGACAAAACCAACACTTTTAAAAGGTGGGGGGGGGGGGGGTTGCTCTCTTCACTTTAATCCCTCCCCCCCCCCCCCCCCCTAAAAAACCCACACACTTCCGCTGCCTCATATGTAGTCTGACTCTAGCATTAATTAATGTGTATGTAAATTAATAATGTTTAATCGACTCTCTTGAAAAGAATAAAGGGCGGATCTAGTTATCAGGAGTACATAAAGGGGGTGGAGTTGATTCTAAAACACCTACTGCTAAAGGGGTCCGAAAGAAAATTGAAATCTACGATGATTTCTCCTGCATTCTAAGATAACTCAAGAATAAATTTAGGAACTTCAGAATTCCATTTATTATTTGTCGCCCGTACAAGCTATAACAATTTAATACATGTAATTGCAATAGCGCAATAATTATACGTGCTGATTGTAGGCGGGCGTGGACACAATCATCCATGATCTAGCTCCTAGACCCATTTACTGGCAACTCAATGGTTCTTGAGTCTGGAGTGCTGAATGGTAACGCATAAAAACCAATGAATACGCTAGTTCTAAGGAAAAGACGTTTTCATTTGCTTCGGACTGACCCTGACATAATAATCCTACGCCTATAAGTCGTTTGATTTCACTGGATGTCTCCTTTTTTTCCCTTAAAATTGGGAATGGATCCTTGTAAACCAATCATTATACATTTTCGGAGTTTTGTATCATTATCTTTTCAAATATAATATTAAAAAGAACATATTTATTCTTGGACAAAGACTTCAGTAAGACTAGTTATTTTAACATAGAAGTTAACGGTTATAAATTAGAACTTTATACAGCTGAAATAAATAGGCATATTCGATTATATATAAAATACACGTATATACTGATATTTATTAATAAACATTTCAAATTGGCTTTATAATATTTTTGCTGTAATACATAATGAGTGAATAATTTGTTAAGGCTAAATACGTGCAGTTACTACATCACAAGTCGATTACCTTTTTTTTTGTTAATTATTTTTGGTTAAATACAATCATGAAACATTTAATTTCAACAAGACTTATATTTAAGGCGTGTATGATCATTTGCATTTACCCCCAAACTTAAACCTACCGAATCAAAAGCTTACTGGGATTAAAGATCGTACTGGTACTAAACACCCCATGAAATTATTCCGTCTGGCTTGCTGTCATTTAGACGAAATCAAAAAAATGTCAGTGATTTGTAACGATCAGTCAATTAGCTAATTTGTGGAACAAAGAGTGCTAAAGACGAAATCGTCTTTCATGATCAAGAAGTAAAGTGCATGGATTTTCCCTGTTTTCTCGAAAAGTAATATCCACTGAGCTGAAACTTCAACAGGTTAGGTTTTGAACGCATGTTCTTTGGATTTTGAGTGGTGTTATTATTGGAAACGAACAAAATGCATGAAAAGCGAATGATCCTACATGCCTTTCATAAAGACAAGATTAATACATCATTACCTATAATTATATACTATGTGTCTATTTATCACATTCAAAAAGGCCTCTTGAAAAGACCGGGGACGAATTGCATGGAGCTACTGGGCACAGCAATTTGTTTAGCAAAAAAATGTTCTAAGCAACCGTCACATTCAAAAAGGCCTCTTGAAAAGACCGGGGACGAATTTCATGGAGCTACTGGGCACAGCAATTTGTTTAGCAAAACAATGTTCTAAGCAACCGTCACATTAAAGGCCTCTTGAAAAGACCGGGGACGAATTGCATGGAGCTACTGGGCACAGCAATTTGTTTAGCAAAAAAATGTTTTAAGCAGAGACGATTTACCAGCCAAAATCGCAAACAATCTATATAGCTCGTGACTGGTTCTCGTTAGACAAATAAATCTGCCAAATAAAGCAATCAATTTGCTTAGTAGCTCAGGAAAAGTGGGGTGTAGCTCGTGCTATAAGCCAAAGACTACCCATAACCCATTAATTTTATTTATGTCTACCTCCGATTTGCCAGTCGTTATCCAAGGATCCCGGTCCCTCAAATGTAGGGACCGGTAGCGGGCAACGAATCCTGGAGGAATTCCTCCCGAACCTAGGTCTGAATCCCGCCCTGTAGATACATCACAACGATAATGACAAGCGCGGGAACCAGCCTTGAGCCTTGGCTATCATTGATGCGCAGTTTGTGTGACGATGAGTTTCAATTTCGCTGAATTTGAAGGTGTCTCTATAGAGGGGCACTGTAGAGGGGCACTGCTTTTCAGTATTTAAAACCTATGCAGTTAAAATGCTTGAAACTTGCCTTCGTGCAGACACTATGGCGATTGTGCCTACTGGTAAGAGTCAGTTTTCCGATGGCCATGACACTGTCATCCATGCGCACAACTTTTCCAAAAATAAAAAAATCATACTGCGCACTCACATCGGTGATCCAATTAAAGGATTTACATGAAAATACTAGTCCACATTGGCACTAGCTACCAGTCTAGCACTAATGCAGCCAGTCGCAATACCTGGTTTAATGGCAAGCGCGGCCAGGTCGCCGCGGCGGTAGAGGGCGATCGGACAAGATGATCCCAGTCACGCCGATGCAAAAAAAATACACGTGCGCTTTATTCAAGCAATGTGTGGTTGTTATGGGGTACATGTGTATGATTACTATTTTTTTTCCGACTATGCTGCAGTTCCAGACTGGAATTCGTTCATCTTTTTGATATAGCGACCTCTACCGCCGCAGTCGCATACGAACAAAATCGAAAGCCATTCCTGGCCAAGTTCGGGCAAGGACCATTAGTCGACTAGTGGTTAATTTGTGACATACAGTCTGACGCCTGCGCACTAATAGCAACGTGCCAACGTCAAACGCTGGTCCAAATGTCATCGCCCCAAACTTCTGGATCCTGCTCAACCGTGCTAGCGTTATGAATGCGCGTGGCTATTGGTTACCAGCGATGCAACCAGCCCCAGTAGGTTGGTTCCAGATAGTCGACTAGCGTAGTCAACCACCGTCGACTAGACAGAGTTCGGGCAAATGTTAGTCGACTGTTAACCATTGGTCAACTATAGTCCTGCGCGAACTTGGCCCAGGAATCAAGAGTACTAGAGTCTGAAAGACTCCTGGTGGCGTGCTTCCGGACCCCTCGAACAGGACAATTATACTAGCACTTAATATTTTGTGATATAACTCTGACTTTTATGTTACAAAAGTCAGAGGTTTTTAAAAATTATTGTTGGTACATTGATTTCTCAAGAACATCACCCTCGGATTTCTGTACTTAATTAATTTGATCACGTTTGTATTCACATCGCGTACTATACTTACACGAAAACGAAAATGATATTACTATACATCTGGACTCTAGATTTAGTCGGCCATGTTTGAATCACACTTTATTACAGTTCTTATCAACGGTCATTTTCGATTTGTTTGTAAATTTAAATGAGAATAACTCTTTCAAGTTTATTTAAAAAAACTGTGTGTCCCAAAAAGACATTTTAGTCTCCTATTGAAGTTTAAGAGTTTGCCCAAAATAACGACTGCCCCAAATTATTTCATAGGCTCTAAAGTTTCATCATTGCACGAGTGCTCCGAGTTCCACTAGTCCACATGTATTTTAGATTTTTGGAAGTGAGAGGTCCAAGTTTGGCACGATACTTCTTTCACGTCATGCGATTTTTCTGTTTCCATAAATTGAGATGCTAGTAACAATTTCACAAAGGCCCTTTGAGGGTGATTTTCTTAAGAAATCAATGTCCCTAAAATAATTTCAAAACTCCGACTTTTTAGTTTTACACGCTGATATGCCTATTCGTGGGGTCCGGAAGCGCGCCACCGGGGGTCAACTTTCAGGCTCTTTTGCCCCACGCAGCAGTTAACCGTCTACCGAAAAAGGCGTAGTTTTCCCGATGATTTCCAAGCGCATGCAGACCGCCGTCTGCCACTTTATGGGCGTGATGCGAAGGTGCCCGAGGTGGATGTAGTCCCGCGACGCTGATTGAAACGGCACGTGGACCGCTGTTTCGCCGGACTTAGAGGAATCGAACTGTGATAAGAAGAAAAAAATAGTAAAGACACTGAATTATCCATTATGCGGGCAAATCGTGTTCCTTTACACGAATTAATCTCAAGATATTCTTTGTCGGTAGCTTAACTATAGTGAGGGTTTGCGGTAACACCATGTTCTTACTCGACGTTCCGATACTAATGTTCTTACTCGACGTTCCGATTATAATGCTCTGATCGTCTTCATGTTGTATGTCTTGAAGACGATCAGAGCACACTGATCGGAACGTCGAGTTTTACTGCATCCAACCGGTTCTTTTCAGAGACCGCACATCTTCTCAACTCTTCTTCTTCTTCCTTACAAGTGCAGACTTCATGGCTGAAGATAATCGCACTGCCAGAAATACCGGGGCGAACCCCTTCTCTTAGCGATAAGTGTACTGGGTTCTTTAACGTGCATTAGATATTATACAACACACGGGACCTACGGCTTTACGTCCCATCCGAAGGACGAAGCAATAATGGTTAAGTGCCTTGCTTAAGGGCACAAGTGTCCGCGCCCGGGCTCGAACCCACGTCACTGTTGCCTCTGAAACACCAGAACATGAGTCCGGTGTTCTTAACCGCTAGGCCATGACACTCCAACTGAGATGTATGGAGAAAAAAAGGATTTGGGAGAGTTCCAGTTTTGTAGTGCGAACATGCCGAGACTGGTGCTTCCCCAAATCATGTGTTGAGTAGCTCAAAAATTGACTACACCCATAAGCGAAGGGAGTTAGCCATAACGACGACACGAAGTAACACTCAAGTTTAAAAGTGGATAAAAACGTTTTAAAACTTTAACAGGAACGTAATTTATCCTTATTCCTGTAGGATTACAGACACATTTAATAAAATGCGTGTTACTTCGTGAAAACGAAAATGACCGATCAGCGCACAGTGCATACAACCTAGCTACTTCGTGAAAACGAAAATCACTCGGTTCTGTAAAACTTACACGCGCGTAGCGCGAATTCAGGTCCACTTGGGTGTTACTTCGTGTCGCTGAGGATTATGAGCCAACATTTCTCACTTCGTCGAATGCCATATGGAAATATTTCATAATTTTACAAAATACCCGCCAACTTTTTTTTTACACGCGTATAAGCCAATCCGGGCATGCTATGAGCTCCGTGCGCTACCAAAGGATTTGCGCCCTTTTACCTAACAACGACGTCCCGGGGGTGGGACATTTCGCTGGTTGACGCGCACCGTTCCTTGTGTGTGACGCACGTACACCAGGGGATTTGTTCTATTTACACGCAGTGGCCGCGCTTCGCGGCAAATGAATTGCAGTCAGGCAAGATGGCGTCGGTCGGTCACCCCCAACTGTACTTCCTTTGCCGGTGAGGGGGTGCTTGTGAACGGAGCGGATACCAACGAAGGCCCCCTTAATGACGCGAGTATTGTGCTATGGTTCTTACCTCCACAAAGGAGCTAAGGTTTTCATCGGATTTGGGTTACTTTGTTTGCTGGTTTGTCGGTTAACAAGATAACTCAAACAATTCTGGACGGATTTGCAAGAAAACAAAAGTTTTAGGGCGGTCCTTGGTACAAGTACAAATCGATTAGATTTTGAAAGTGATCCGCATAGGCCTAGCTATCTGGGTCTGGTTCCAGCATTTTTTTCACCATTTATGTGAGTATTTCTTCTTCTTTTTTGGTGTACTGACAATAATGGCGGGGAATTTGAGCCTTGGTGGAGGTTTGCGCTCTCTGAGTGCTCTCTAGTTTTACGGTTAATCCATTGGAGGGGGACACATGAGTGTGCAGTAATCACGTACCGAATGCAGTTTTAGTCTGCAGCCTATAGTAAAGTCATTTTACGCATGCTTGAAACATATTACGTTATTGAATAACATGTCACGTGATTTGTAAAACTTCATGATTTAGGTTCCAAACGTTACCTTATATGGACTGTGACCCAATAGTGTGACCAATAGTCCCGAGTTTATCCGAGTCCAAATTTCACATGTCCAGGAAAAAAACGACACTCAGAAGTATATTTCTTTATAGCCTTGTTCAATGCGGTCTCTCGGCTTTTTGTCGAAGGGAGATAATCGGGCCCTGCACCCACAAGCAACGCGGCTACGTGCGTGTACCACCGACCCTTAATTGTCCGTGCGTGTACCGTACCACCGACCCTTGTCCGTACGAACGGTTTGGTACTAACACAACCAGCAAGCACAAACACGTGAGTACGGACTGTACGCATGGTGTAATAAGGCAGTAAATGTAGGCCTACTATGTTCTGCGTGTGGGAGTACGTACGTACGTGTGGGGGATATACGCGCCGCGTGGCCTGTCGAACGACCGCCTTGTTGGGTCTGCAACTTCCGGGTTTAATGTCTTTCTTTACTTTTTCGTCCAGTTTTGGAAAAAAATGGGCGGGCTTCGGGTATGCGGGTATGCCGTGATGATTATGTAGGTTCGTCTTGGACCAATCACATGAAACAACCTTCCCAATAGTATGATTAATTCATTTCTAAGCTGACCAATCGTAAGCTTCACAAGAATCATGTGACGTAGCGCGGCATGCATAATGCATTAGTCATCATGGCGTCTTCCATGTCTTTTTAGCGAGAGCGAAATTACTTTTTCAACAATTTGACATTGATTCGAGTTTTTCGGCTCGTGTAATGAATCCATTTGAGTGGGCAACGATCGTCTAATGACAGCATTACCTGCAGAATTCGTTGGAGCCTTCAATACTGCTTCGGATAGACTGGGACTGAACGACTTTCACCCACAGCAACGGGCCGCCATTGCAGCGTTTCTTCGCGGATGCGACGTGTTTGTTAGCCTATCGCGGGCTGACCAATGAGAATTCAGTATATACGCGGGGGTGGTACCTCATTACCGTAATAGGTTTTGCTGGGTCAACTCAAAACCATCAAGGCGTTGGGTTACGCGGACTAGCTCATGCATGTACATGTACATGTACATGTACATGTACATGTACATGTACATGTACAGTACTGTGTGTGCATGGCTGTTGTACGAGTACGTGTGTGATGTACATGTACGTGCGTACGTACATGTACAAGCATAGCCTTGCTGTATGGTACAAGTTGCTTTCTCACTAGCAGCGTACGGGCATCGATATGTGCACGCAATTATGCCTTGCCAAGTTGATTAGGGATTTTCTTATCGGCGATTTTTTTTATCGGCGAATCGATAAGCCCAACGCCTTGGTCAAGGCTAATTTCTTTACCGTTGTTAGAGATCCTGTGTCTTCTCTAATGTGGCTCCATCCTTGCAAAGCATCATCTCGGTAATACACGATAAAATTGGTCACGAACATGTCGCTGGAGGGGCGCCCCTGGACAATCACGCCATACACGTCTGCTTGGCGCGACAAAGACACACTGATCCACTGCAATGGACCCAACTGAGGCGTCGGCGCACACCAGGATTCTGCGATAAAATTGGCAATAAAAATGTGTTCAGCATAAGAGGAAACAAGTGCGAGTGCACAATAGTCTCTAACAAAAAAAATGCGACGCCGATGATGGCGCATGGCACACCACTTTTTGGGTCAATTTTGGGAACATTATCCTCCTTCTGGAAACCGTCCAACCACTACACAAAATACCACGTGACTATAACATTACTGCACATTGTTATTTTGCCTCCATTTACAAACTTGTTATAAACGTGTCTTTTCATAAACGAAAACTGTCTTACTTGCACCATTCAGACGGGCTAGCCCAGGGCCATAGTTTGCATCGTCTGAGGAGTTTAAGACGCTGCTGGCGCCGATTTGATCGTCTGGTATAGTGCCATCTTCCATGCCAAGTGGGGCGCAACCACCGCAATCTGCAGAGAAAATGAATGTAAAAAAACAGAGTTTCGATCCTTAACCGTATGACTTTTGTATTCATTGTTTAAATAATACTAATTAATTTGTGACTTTCTTTTTTGTGTTGAGATAGAAATTGTTTCATTATACAATGTACTTTAATTCTTTTAAACATTCTATTCTGAAATACACTAGCCTACGAACTTTGGTTTATCTCGGGATTCCGTGCAGGCCATATTCAAATTGAGAGGCTGGGAAACAGTGGGCAGCTTCAATTTTAGCCTTTCGCCAAGGCCATCGTGACCTAACTTGCCAGCATTTGACAAAGCGGCGAAGCTGTGAAGCGACTAGAGCGGGAGACCACACACGCGAGTGGCAACGCGTGCTGACTTAATCTTTGCTCCAGTCGCTTCGTACTTTCGCAGCTCCGCCACAACTAGCCACGATATGACCTTGTCGAAAGGCTACTTCAATGTGTGCACTGTGCACAGCTCGCGAGCGCCATGAGCGATCCCGATATTTATCAGAGCTAAATACCTATGATAGAAACGTTGAAAAGGCACGTCCCCATGTTGCGCACACTGTCGTATGCTTCACACCACACGGTCGTGACCCCCTTGTAGAACCCGTCCCCAGGGCCAACGACTAATCCCAGATCGTTCACGCACGTGATTTCGGAGCTGGGTATTTCCCCGTCCAGGTTGTCTACGGCCGTTGGGGGCGCCCAATCGGGCTTGGCTTGGGCTTCTCCTCCATTGGTATAGCTCCATACGGCATTGGGGCACGTGACCGTTGGAGCCTCAAAATCAGGAGAAGGCTGCGATACTCCTACAACTGGAAAGAGTGTTCTACTCAATAATGTTTAACAAATGTCTCAAAGAGTTTCACCTGCAAAAAAGATGTTATTTTCAACTTACTTTTCTAGCAATATAATAAAAGTCATCCACTTCTGAATAAGACATTGAACAAAACAATCCACAGACAATCAAAACTCAAATCTGACAATAGTAAGTGAATAATTTCTTCACAAATTTCGAATTATTGGCTGCCAGACAATAATTATCGTGACGTCAAAAGAGTTACCTTCGGGCTGTGATCCGAGGACAAGAACGGTCGACATGGCTGCTGCACTTTCATCAAGTTCATCCCCTTGTCCTTGGGAATTTGTACTCACCTGAAAAACAAAATGGAATATGCCTACAAATTATTGCCCTTTGTTTATCATGGATAATAATCACGCGATAATTGCATTTTAATTCTCATTACTCAACTTAATGGTCAGTTTGATTAATTCGATCAATCATGTGTATTTTTTTTTTTTAACAAGGCCATGTAATTAAGCTGTGAGTCTAGCTTTGACCAAGGCAGTATTAGCCGCGCATATTGCTGCTGCGCACCTGCCAGCAATATATTTTTTTCTGCAACCAATCATAGACATTGACCTTAACCCTCGTGTTACGCCTATCCTCACATAATTTGTGTTGGTTTTATAAGGTTCTAAATAAAAAAAAATCAAATCTGACAATAATATAATTACAATAGGTTGACTATCGCACTAAATATGTTTTTTTCTGTAACTTTTTTGTTTGATGTGTTTGTTTGATGTATACAAACTTCTCATTCGGTCTACATTATTTTCTCACATCGTGCCAAAAGAATGGGCCTATCATAATGATTATAGATTAGAGATGTGTTCCCGGCCCGTGAGCGTTTTCGAGTTCCATCTCAAAAAATAGATTCCTTTTCTAAACTCCTTTTTTCTAATGATATAGCCACAAAAGTTATTCACTTTTCAATGAGACATCGTTCGAAAAAATCCTGGCGACGCCCATGTTTTCTAGTTTTGAAGTGTATACTATAATAGCATATTGTTTATTTATTCTAAGGTTAAAAAAAAACTTACTTGGACTGTTTCAGTCGTTGTTTCCATCGGTCCTTCCGTGTCACTTTCCAAGCCGCCGAAGTACAAGAAGCCTGATTTTTGCTGCAAACTTTCAGGGTTTTCCTCGGCCCTTGCGTCGTTCATTTGGCACGTGCCATCGGTGTCGCAGTGATTGAACGACAAGCAGCGACGGTGGCGGTGACAGAGCACCATGCACTGGACCAGGGACGTAGCGTGTAGGCTGAGGAACGTGTGCCCGACCAACGCCTGGTTCTCCCGGGCGACGTAGAGGGTCCCACCCGCCGCAACGCATGCTTGTCGTGCAGTGATTAGCACCGTGAGAATTAACAACCCCAAACCCTCCATGGCAGGCAACGCCAATTTCAAGAAAACGCGAGATGCAACGAAGCACAGGACGAAATCTGTTCATTCACACAGCGCCCAGCGGCTAGCCTGTGGCAGTTTTTTGTACGTTGCTAGTTGTGTGGTACGTCTTCACTACCTTGCCGACTGATGAAAGGCGGCATCTTTCGTTTGCTGCACTATTTTAACGTTTAATACGGTGTGACCACGGTTATTAGTAAACGCGAGCGTTAATTAGGTACGATTGACAACCTTCATTTATCACGGGGTGGACGTGGCGCCACCTTCGTTGAAATATGGATTAAAAGGTTAGCAACTGAAGCCAGCGTACTTTATACGTGTACGTTCTGATAGGACCATCCAAAATGGTGGCTGCGGGTGGCCAACTGCCCAATACATGTGTATAGCTCGCGCCCGAAAATGGCGGCTATGGGCTATCCAATTCACAAAACGGTTTCAAACAATACACTACCAGTATCACTATCAAATAATGATAAGGCCTTTCAAATGCTTCTCTACATAACGGATGTAGGCCTACAATTCAACTTTAATAAACGTATCGGTAGGTGGGCGTGGACATCGGGGAATTCGTTTACATAGCCCTATTTTCTTGAAACTCAATGGTTCTTGAGTCTGGAGTGCTGAATGGTAATACATAGCAACTAATGAAATCTGCCGGTGTGCAAATGAATAGATGTTTTCATCGCATGACGTCACTCCGCCATCTATAAATTGCCGTCATATTAAATAAAAAGTGCAGATGCGCGTATGCAGTCCGCCATCTTGGAATCTTTGTTATATTTTGTAGCTTTCCTGAAATAAAGAAGCCCAAGTCTGCATGTACAGGAGAAATTCAATGGCCACTACGTTCTATATACCTGACCTGGTCAAACTTTATGTCGACATGCAACTTTAACAAACTTTGGAAACAGTTAAAATAAAAGGACTTACACTCAGTTTCTTAAGTTGTAGCAATCGTCAATCTGAAATTCCTGGGCCTATTTCCAACGACAGAGGGCGCTACCTTGCGACAGACAATACTACCGCGTGGAAGAGTTGGACACATGCCTATCATTTATCAAGTATCATTACTACTGACTCTTACCATAACCAGTAGGCAAAATCGTCATAGTGGCTACACGAAGCCAACTGTCAAGCATTTTAACTGCACTTCCGCTGCCTCATTGTAAGCTGACTTTAGCATTAATTAATGTGTATGTAAATTAATAATGTTTAATCGACTCTCTTGAAAAGAAAAAGGGGCGGATCTAGTTATCAGGAAAAATGAAGGGGGTACATAAAGGGGGTGGAGTTGATTCTAAAACACCTACTGCTAAAGGGGTCCGACAAAAAATGGAAATCTACGATGATTTCTCCTGCATTCTAAGATAACTCAAGAATATATTTAGGAACTTCAGAATTCCATTTATTATTTGTCGCCCATACAAGTTATAACAATTTAATACATGTAATTGCAATAGCGCAATAATTATACGTGCTGACTGTAGGCGGGCGTGGACACAATCATCCATGATCTAGCTCCTAGACCCATTTCCTTGCAACTCAATGGTTCTTGAGTCTGGAGTGCTGAATGGTAACGCATAAAAACCAATGAATACGCTAGTTCTAAGGAAAAGACGTTTTCATTTGCTTCGGACTGACCCTGACATAATAATCCTACACCTATCAGTCGTTTGATTTCACTGGATGTCTCCTTTTTTCCCCTTAAAATTTGGGAATGGATCCTTGTAAACCAATCATTATACATTTTCGGAGTTTTGTATCATTATCTTTTCAAATATAATATTAAAAAGAACACATTTATTCTTGGACAAAGACTTCAGTAAGACTAGTTATTTTAACATAGAAGTTAACGGTTATAAGTCAGAACTTTATACAGCTGAAATAAATAGGCATGTTCGATTATATATAAACTACACGTATATACTGCTATTTAATAAAACAACAAACAATTTAAATTGGCTTTATAATATTTTTGCTGTAACACACAATGAGTGAATAATTTGTTAAGGCTAAGTACGTGCAGTTACTACATCACAAGTCGATTACTTTTTTTTTGTTAAATATTTTTGGTTAAATACAATCATGAAACATTTAATATCAACAAGACTTATATTTAAGGCGTGTATATAGGATCATTTGCATTTATCCCCAAACTTAAACCAAAACTTACTTGGATTAAAGATCGTACTGGTACTAAACACCCTATGAAACTATTCCGTCTGGCTTGCTGTCTTTAGAAGAAATCAAGAAATGTAAGTGATTAAACGATCAGTCAACTAGCTAATTTGTGGAATTATAGAGCGTTATAGACGAAATCGTGTTTCGCGATCAAAAGGTATAGTGCATGGGTTTTTCCTTGTTTTCTCGAAAAGTGATGATATCCACTGAGCTGATGAAACTTCAACAGGTTAGGTTTTGAACGCATGTTCTTTGGATTCTGAGTGGTGTTATCGTTGGAAACGAACAAAATGCATGAAAAGCGAATGATCCTACATGCCTTTCATAAAGACAAGATTAATACATCATTACCTATAATTATATATATATGTCTATTTATCACATTCAAAAAGGCCCCTTGAAAAGACCGGGGACGAATTACATGGAGCTACTGGGCACAGCAATTTGTTTAGCAAAAAAAGTTTTAAGCAGAGACGGTTTACCAGCCAAAATCGCAAACAATCTATATGGCTCGTGCCTGGTTCTCGTTAGACAAATAAATCTGTCAAATACAGCAATACAATTTTCTTAGCAGCTCATGAAAAGTTTGGTGCAGCTCGTACTATAAGCCAAAGATTACAACCCATTCACCTATCATTTTATTTATGTCTACCTCCACACTGAGTAAACAGTGTTTAAACGTCGGTGAAGGGCAAAACCTATAATTATATTTATATCTACCTCCAGTTTGCCAGTCGTTATCCAAGGATCCCGGTCCCTCAAATGTAGGGACCGGTAGCGGGCAACGAATCCTGGAGGAATTCCTTCCTGTGTATGTTAATTAACCTAGGTCTGAATCCCGCCCTGTAGATACATCACAACGATAATGACAAGCGGGAACCAGCCTTGAGCCTTGGCTATCATTGATGCGCAGTTTGTGTGATGACGAGTTTCAATTTCGCTGAATTTGAAGGTGTCTCTGGCAGTGGCGTAGCCAGGAATTTTTCAGTGTGGGGGGGGGGGGGGGGCCGCCGGGGCTTGAACATTTTATGGGGGGGGGGGCGTCATGTAGATCAATGATAATTTTTTTAGAAACTCAAAATCTCAGTGGGGGGGGGCGACTGGGGGGCGACAAGGTTTCGTGGGGGGCTGTCGTCGCCCCCCCCCCCCCACACGCCCCCCCCCCGTGGCTTCGCCACTGGTCTCTGGCAACTATAGAGGGGCACTGCTTTTCAGTGGGGGGGGGGGGGGGGGGCTGGGGGCTTGAACATTTCATGGGGGGGGGGGGGCGTCATGTAGATCAATGATAATTTTTTTAGAAACTCAAAATCTCAGTGGGGTGGGGGGGGGGGGGCGACTCGGGGGCGACAAGGTTTCATGGGGGGCTGTTGTCGCCCCCCCCCCCCCCCCCCCCACGGCCCCCCCCCCCCCCGTGGCTTCGCCACTGGTCTCTGGCAACTATAGAGGGGCACTGCTTTTCAGTATTTGAAACCTATGCAGTTAAAATGCTTGAAACTTGCCTTCGTGCAGACATATGGCGATTTTGCCTACTGGTAAGAGTTTCCGATAGCCATGACACTCAGTGTCGTCCATGCGCACGACTTTTGCAAAAAAAAATTAAAATCATACTGCGCACGCGCAACGGTGATCCAATCAAAGGATTTACATGAAAATACTAGTCCACATGGACACTAGCTGGCCAGTCGCGATACCTGGTTTTATGGCAAGCGCGGCCTGGTCGCCGCGGCAGTACTACGGAGGGCGCTATCGACAAGATGAATCAAGTCACGCCGATACTACGAAAAAAATTGCAGGTGCGGTTTATTCAAGCATCATGCTATGGGGTACATGTGTATGATTATTTTTTTTTTAGTTTCGACTGTGCCGAAGTTCCAGACTGGATTTCATTCATCTTTTTGATATAGCGACCTCTGCCGCCGCAGTCGCATATAAATGTAAATGAGAATAACTCTTTTAAGTTTATTTTAAAAAAAAATGTGTGTCCCAAAAGACATTTTCGTCTCCTATTGAAGTTTAAGAGTTTACCCAAAATAATGACTGCCCCAAATTATTTCATAGGCTCTAAATTTTCATCATTGCACGAGTGCTCCGAGTTCCACCAGTCCACATGTATTTTAGATTTTTGGAAGTGAGAGGTCCAAGTTTGGCACGATACTTCTTTCACGTCATGCGATTTTTCAGTTTTCCATAAATTGAGATGCTAGTAACAATTTTACAAAAGCCTTTTTTGAGGGTGATTTTCTTAAGAAATCAATGTCCCTAAAATAATTTCAAAAACTCCGACTTTTAGTTTTACACGCTCATTTTCCTATTCGTGGGGTCCGGAAGCGCGCCACCTGACGGGGTCAACTTTCAGGCTCTTTTCCCCCGCAGCAGTTAACCGTCTACCGAAAAAGGCGAAGTTTTCCCGATGATTTCCAAGCGCATGCAGACCGCCGTCTGCCACTTTATGGGCGTGATGCGAAGGTGCCCGAGGTGGATGTAGTCCCGCGACGCTGATTGAAACGGCACGTGGACCGCTGTTTCGCCGGACTTAGAGGAATCGAACTATGATAAGAAGAAAAAAATAGTAAAGACACTGAATTATCCATTATGCGGGCAAATCGTGTTCCTTTACACGAATTAATCTCAAGATATTCTTTGTCGGTAGCTTAACTATAGTGAGGGTTTGCGGTAACACCATGTTCTTACTCGACGTTCCGATCATAATGCTCTGATCATCTTCATGTTGTATGTCTTGAAGACGATCAGAGCACACTGATCGGAACGGTGAGTTTTACTGCATCCAACCGGTTCTTTTCAGAGACCGCACATCTTCTCAACTGAGATGTATGTTTTCGTCTGCAGCCTATAGTAAAGTCATTTTACGCATGCTTGAAACATATTACGTGATTGAATAATATGTCACGTGATTTGAAACGCTTCATGATTTAGGTTCCAAACGTTTCCTTATATGGACTGTGACCTCACACGTGACTTTATAGGCTAAACATGCGCAATGCAACCAATAGTTCCGAGTTTATCTTGAGTCCGAATTTCACATGTCCAGGAAAAAATGTCACTCAGAAGGATATTTTTTACCTTTGTTATAAATCCTGTGTCTTCTTTAATTTTGCTCCATAACTGCGAAGTATCATCTGCGTAAGACACGATAAAATTGGTCACGAACATGTCGCTGGAGGGGCGCCCCTGGACAATCACGCCATACACGTCTGCTTGGTGCGACAAAAACACCCGGATCCACGGCAATGGATCATCCAACTGAAACGTCCGCGCACACCAGGATTCTGCGATAAAATTGGCAATAAAAATGTGTTCAGCATAAGAGGAAACAAGTGCGATTGCACAATAGTCTCTGACAAAAAAAATATGCGACGCCGATGATGGCACATGGCACACCACTTTTTGGGTCAATTTTGGGAACATTATCCTCCTTCTGGAAACCGTCCAACCACTACAGAAAATACCACGTGACTACATTACTGCACATTGTTATTTTGCCTCCATTTACAAACTTTTTATAAACGTGTCTTTTCATAAACTAAAACTGTCTTACTTGCACCATTCAAACGGGCTAGCCCAGGGCCATAGTTTTCATCGTCTGAGTTTAAGACGCTGCTGGCGCCGATATGATCGTCTGGTATAGTGCCATCTTCCATGCCAAGTGGGGCGCAACCACCGCAATCTGCAGAGGAAATGAATGTAAAAAAACAGAGTTTCGATCCTTAACCGTATGACTTTTGTATTCATTGTTTAAATAATACTAATTAATTTGTGACTTTCTTTTTGTGTTGAGATAGAAATTGTTTCATTATACAATGTACTTTAATTCTTTTAAACATTCTATTCTGAAATACACTAGCCTTCGAACTTTGGTTTATCTCGGGATTCCGTGCCGGCCATATTCAAATTGAGAGGCTGGGAAACAGTGGGCAGCTTCAATTTTAGCCTTTCGCCAAGGCCATCGTGACCTAACTTGCCAGCATTTGACAAAGCGGCGAAGCTGTGAAGCGACTAGAGCGGGAGACCACACACGCGAGTGGCGAAGCGTGCTGACTTAATCTTTGCTCATGTCGCTTCGTACTTTCGCAGCTCCGCCACAACTAGCCACGATGACCTTGTCGAAAGGCTACTTCAATGTGTGCACTGTGCATGCACAGCTCGCGAGCGCCATGAGCAATCCCGATATTTATCAGAGCTAAATACCTATGATAGAAACGTTGAAAAGGCACGTCCCCATGTTGCGCACACTGTCGTATGCTTCACACCACACGGTCGTGACCCCCTTGTAGAACCCGTCCCCAGGGCCAACGACTAATCCCAGATCGTTCACGCACGTGATTTCGGAGCTGGGTATTTCCCCGTCCAGGTTGTCTACGGCCGTTGGGGGCGCCCAATCGGGCTTGGCTTGGGCTTCTCCTCCATTGGTATAGCTCCATACGGCATTGGGGCACGTGACCGTTGGAGCCTCAAAATCAGGAGAAGGCTGCGATACTCCTACAACTGGAAAGAGTGTTCTACTCAATAATGTTTAACAAATGTCTCAAAGAGTTTCACCTGCAAAAAAGATGTTATTTTTAACTTACTTTTCTAGCAATATAATAAAAGTCATCCACTTCTGAATAAGACATTGAACAAAACAATCCACAGACAATCAAAACTCAAATCTGACAATAGTAAGTGAATAATTTCTTCACAAATTTCGAATTATTGGCTGCCAGACAATAATTATCGTGACGTCAAAAGAGTTACCTTCGGGCACGTCTTGTGATCCGAGGACAAGAACGGTCGACATGGCTGCTGCACTTTCATCAAGTTCATACCCTTGTCCTTGGGAATTTGTACTCACCTGAAAAACAAAAGGGAATATGCCTACAAATTATTGCCCTTTGTTTATCATGGATAATAATCACGCGATAATTGCATTTTAATTCTCATTACTCAACTTAATGGTCAGTTTGATTAATTCGATCAATCATGTGTATTTTTTTTTTACAAGGCCATGTAATTAAGCTGTGAGTCTAGCTTTGACCAAGGCAGTATTAGCCGCGCATATTGCTGCTGCGCACCTGCCAGCAATATATTTTTTTTCTGCAACCAATCATAGACATTGACCTTAACCCTCGTGTTACGCCTATCCTCACATAATTTGTGGTGGTATTATAAGGTTCTAAATAAAAAAAAATCAAATCTGACAATAATATAATTACAATAGGTTGACTATCGCACTAAATATGTTTTTTTCTGTAACTTTTTTTGTTTGATGTGTTTGTTTGATGTATACAAACTTCTCATTCGGTCTACATTATTTTCTCACATCGTGCCAAAAGAATGGGCCTATCATAATGATTATAGATTAGAGATGTGTTCCCGGCCCGTGAGTGTTTTCGAGTTCCATCTCAAAAATAGATTCCTTTTCTAAACTACTTTTTTTCTAATGATATAGCCACAAAAGTTATTCACTTTTCAATGAGACATCGATCGAAAAAATCCTGGCGACGCCCATGTTTTCTAGTTTTGAAGTGTATACTATAATAGCATATTGTTTATTTATTTTAAGGTTAAAAAAAAACTTACTTGGACTGTTTCAGTCGTTGTTTCCATCGGTCCTTCCGTGTCACTTTCCAAGCCGCCGAAGTACAAGAAGCCTGATTTTTGCTGCAAACTTTCAGGGTTTTCCTCGGCCCTTGCGCCGTTCATTTGGCACGTGCCATCGGTGTCGCCGTGATTGAACGACAAGCAGCGACGGTGGCGGTGACAGAGCACCATGCACCTGACCAGGGGCGTAGCGTGTAGGCTGAGGAACGTGTGCCCGACCAACGCCTGGTTCTCCCGGGCGACGTAGAGGGTCCCACTCGCCGCAACGCATGCTTGTCGTGCAGTGATTAGCACCGTGAGAATTAACAACCCCAAACCCTCCATGGCAGGCAACACCAATTTCAAGAAAACGCGAGATGCAACGAAGCACAGGACGAAATCTGTTCATTCACACAGCGCCCAGCGGCTAGCCTGTGGCAGTTTGTTGTACGTTGCTAGTTGTGTGGTACGTCTTCACTACCTTGCCGACTGATGAAAGGCGGCATCTTTCGCTTGCTGCACTATTTTAACGTTTAATACGGTGTGACCACGGTTATTAGTAAACGCGAGCGTTAATTAGGTACGACTGACAACCTTCATTTATCACGGGGTGGACGTGGCGCCACCTTCGTTGAAATATGGATAAAAAGGTTAGCAACTGAAGCCAACGTACTTTATATGTGTACGTTCTTATAGGACCATCCAAAATGGTGGCTGCGGGTGGCCAACTGCCCAATACATGTGTATAGCTCGCGCCCGAAAATGTCGGCTACATGGGCTATCCAATTCACAAAACGGTTTCAAACAATACACTACCAGTATCACTATCAAATAATGACAAAGCCCTTCAAATGCTTCTCTATGCTTCTCTAAATAACGGATTTAGGCCTGCACTATAACTTTAATAGACGTATCGGTGGGTGGGCGTGGACATCGGGGAATTCGTTTACATAGCCCTATTTTCTTGAAACTCAATGGTTCTTGAGTCTGGAGTGCTGAATGGTAATACATAGCAACTAATGAAATCTGCCGGTGTGCAAATGAATAGATGTTTTCATCGCATGACGTCACTCCGCCATCCATATATTGCCGTCATATTAAATAACGCTCGATGTCTTTAAACAAAAAAGTGCAGATGCGCGTATGCAGTCCGCCATCTTGGAATCTTTGTTATATTTTGTAGCTTTCCTGAAATAACCTAAGTCTGATACATGTACAGGAGAAATTCAATGGCCACTACGTTCTATATACCTGAGCTGGTCAAACTTTATGTTGACATGCAATTAACAAACTTTGGAAACAGTTAAAAATAGAACGACTTACGCTCAGTTTCTTCAATTTGTAGCAATCGTCAATCTGAAATTCCTGGGCCTATTTCCAACGACAGAGGGCGCTACCTTGCGACAGACAATACGAGCGCGTAGACGAGTTGGACACATGGCCATCATTACTGCTGACGCTTAACTACAAATGTAGAAGGCACAATCGTCATAGTGTCTGCACGAAACCAACTGTCAAGCATTAACTGCACACATGTAGGTTTCAAGTACTGAAAAGCAGTGCCCCTCATAGTTGCCAGAGACGCTTTCGAATTCAGTGAAAATCGAAACTCATCACCACCCCACAAACTTGTTGCCATTTTGCAATAGGCTGGTTCCACGCTTACATTATCGTTGTGATGTTTGTATTCAGGGACCGGGAATCATACCTGGTAGCATTATGGGTATATCTTCCTAGTCCTGCATCCAATTTCCATACATTACAAAGAAATGTTTCCTAATCTATTGCCCACTACCGGTCCCTTTATTCGAAGTCCGAAGGATAATCGGGACCGGGAACCAGTCTGTACGGAACCAACCTTGTCCCCAGGGGTTACTTAATTTCCAACCTCGCATCCAATAGAGAGGGAGAGCAGGTAGTGGTGGGAGCGCACTGCTCCACACCATGGGAACTTGGTAGACAATTGTTGGGTAAAAAACATCCTCAATTTCCGCTGGGGAGATTAAGAGGCCTCCAGGGTAGTGGAATCTACAATCCCGGCCAAAATGGTTGGGACACTTCCCTGAGCCTGCCACGGTTACCCACTCCCCCGCTCCCCCGGTCAACTTTGTTCTCTTCAGCTGATGGAGCACACACCGCGCAACGAGAGACATTGAACGGGGCCGGGGGTTGGGGGCCCAGCGAGAATTGGCCAGGATTGTAGATGTTATTTTGAATGGATTGTTCATTTTAGTTGCCTATAGCTGTCACTGAAAGCAGCTGGTGAAGTTGCATCGATAACAGTCTGATGAAGATCATCTCTTGCAATAAGAAAACATTTTGAAAAATGAAAAAACACCAATACAAACGGACAAGTGTTGACTCGAGATGGACTATTATTAGCCTCAAATAACTTTTATTTCACAGTAGTGGTTTAGGAATAATCCGGGAAAAGCAGAGTATTTTGGGTGGAATGGTGGACCAGAGCAACATTTCAAAAGAATTCAAAATAAACCCGGCTGTGAGAAATCCAAATATTTTCCATTGGTAACGAGCAAGATATCCAGCTTAAAAGTTTATCTTTTTGATGAATACTGCTAAAACTGATGAAAACATGCCTTAAACCCGACAACATACTTTAATGAATATTTAACTAGTTAATAATGGTAACCAAATTAAATGAGCGTACACAGAGAAAGTGGGCTTTGTCATGCAACAACATATAAAAAGAACACTTTAAATCATTATCAAACATACAAAGCAAATAACATTTTCATAAACAATATTAAATATATATATTTATATAATTTGATGTTGCAGTTTCAGAAATGCCACGTTAAAAACATTCGATCAAGTCAAACAAACAACCTAACAAACAAACAAACACCATGTATTTTTGTAATAAAAACTCACGCGAGCGTTCCATTGATAATTTGTTCTTAAAAATTCCACTCGCAAATATAACTGAGATTCGACTGGCCGTTTGGTGTAGACTTTATTCCAATCTGCAAGTTGCTGACTGGATAAGTCGTAAACATCACCCCCTGTACTGAAAAGCCTGGTTCAAGTTTGACACAACTGGTAAAGAGTTAAACATTCCAAAAGACAACAGTTTTATTATTACTGAAGTTTGGTGTTCCTCAGCATTTACAGCTAGTTTATGCCTCACACAAACAGACAGCCTTGAATTAAGGCTACCGATGTTGCCCCCCCCCCCCCGATTTCCAAAAAAAATATATGCCTGTTCAACGATATATTGTCAGCGCATTGTTGGAGAAAATGAGTAGGCCAACTTGCAGAATGAATGAGAAATCCAACCCAAAAATCCCGACATCTATTTCAAAATGCCCTTTTTTTCTGTAAATGGAATGGGTATGTGTAAAAATATCAACAAGCAAAACCAAATGTGAATAAGACGTCAACAAAATAATACAAACAATGACATGAAGCGGTCTGCTAAAGCAAAAGTCTAAAGCTGCAACAACACAACTACTGAGTTATCTTTGGTATTGCAATTAGTTTTTCACAATCATAAATATAAGTATATGTTTATCGGGAACGGATTTTATCATCAATTTTTTTCTTTTTCATACATCGAAGCAACTTTTCATGAACTAAATGGAACATGCACACAGAAAACTCGGAAGTCTGTATGATTGCAAGCTTATACATCTTGGTACACTGCGAATGATAGGTTGGTGTTTCTTCTAAGTTTCACCAGAAAAGCTTCTAAATGTGAAGTAAAGTCTGTGATAAGCCACACCTCAACCCAAAATGTCTTTTTGGGGGTTGAAAATAAACACAACATTTGTTTTCAAAACAACGCTTGATTCATTTCAGAGCTAATTACTATTGATCAACCTCACTTTCTTCATTCGAAAGTTCTTCAAAAAATCTCTGAGCAAATTTTGCCTCGCAGTTCGGTTTCTGGCTAATTCCAAAATCGGTTGCCAATATTCACGAAGCTATTTCGTCGGCCTAAAACCAACATTTGTCACTTGCTTCGCAACAGAGAATCAATCTGTTCAGCAATCGACATCAGTAAAATATTTCAGCTCGGTGAATGTTGGTGTTTTTAGCCCAGAAAATACAGCACGTGGTGACAGCATCGAGACCCTTCCCATTAATGTTGGTTTTCCGTTACAAACCATAAAAAGAAAAAAAAAACCAATCTGCAGCGCAATTTTACATCCAATTCCCAAAGTAGCTACATTACGCAGACGCCAAAAAATAATACTTAACCCGACTCGACCCTAAAAACCAAATGTTTTGTTCATTCAGCTTGTCAAATCGATCACAACCACTTTTTTTTTTATCAAAAAGAACCAACGCTTACGATTTCAAACAGCTGCACCACTTTTAAAATTAATCAGTTTTCTTGAAATCAAGCATTTTGGCAATAAATAAACCTTCAACTTCAATGCTCCGCCCCCCCCCCCCAATTTCTCTTGCCTATAAACACTCAACGCAATGCTGATTGTAACCACGGTAACAATGGGTATAAATAGATCCCCTATACATGAAATCTGCATGCAGAAACACTGTACACCTATATACAAACAAATAATACATGTTTATATGCACCATTCGACGGAAAAAAAATAATCTGATTCATTATTCAAAAAAAAAATGACTTCTTATTTTTTGACAGAAAATACTGATGGCAAAATGATCTTCAACAGAGAAATTTCCCCGAATGTCTTCAAAAACTTGGGGTTGTCACAGCCCTACTTCAAATATTTGAACTTCACTGCTTGAGAATTTTCAGTCAAAAAAAAGTAACAAATTTCAAAACAAAAAGGCATTAAATGTAATAATCATCAAGAAACACCAACAGCAGTACAATGCTATTGACCGTTTACTTTGTACATGGACTGGCACTGATAAAACATACAACACTTGTGCTTGCAAGACTTCAATTACAATCATATTTGGGGAAACGTGGGGAATCACTTAGAACTGCAAAGCCAATTCAATTGTACAATGGTTACATTTGGAATTATCCAGACTTTTTTCCCACTTACGGGATATTTGCATATATACACAATTCCACATTTCAAGACAAATGACAGGAGATTTTCTCAAATATTAGAAATTTCCTTTCGTTTTTCATTTGGAAATCGTTAACCTAGGATTGATTAGTCATTGTTAAGCTTTTTCACACCAACGAGCTTGTATTACGGCTTTCTTACATAATTTTTTTCTATTTATTTGGATTTTGTTAACACAGGAAGTGATAATCTACCAGGGGAACACAGAAAACTAAAACTAGCACAAGTCAAGACTTTATAATTTTTTCAACGATATCATCATTTAGAGTGCCAGTTTTCTTGTTTTTTTTTCAATTCAACAATGTACAGACATTCAACACTGACTCTACAGCTGACCGTTGTTCCTTTTTTGGTTTGACCAAGGTAAAGGAACACCGACTATGTACAAGCACACACACACAAACTCATATTTATTTAAATTTGCGATTCATTTTTTTTCTTTCGTAGTCACAAAGAGTCCCAGATAGATTGCTAAGCCTGCAGTGGTATGGCAAAGCACAGACAGAACACGATAATACTCAGTTAAAATGGGCAAATATGAATCCTTTGGTCTAAACAGTACCGGTATATATTCCAACTAATGCCCCGTTTGTGAAAACACGATTTATCGTGGAACTGTTGTAATTATGTACACAAATACCATCTACTCTGCCACGCCAACTGCAAGCTTTACAACTACATATCCAAGAAGAAGCACCAAGGAAGATCTATACATGTTTTTTTTCCAAAACCCTTACTAAAACCTGTTTGGTTTGTAAGCAGCCGTTGACCCTGCAGAGGGAGGAATAAAACGCTCAGGCTTTTTAAAACTACTGAACACAGTATTGCTTTTCAGGCAGGTTTATGTTTGATCTGCTGCTTCCACTGGATTGAGAAGGGCAGATAAGCTACCCCTTCAGGATTGACAAGGGCAGATATGCTGCCGCCTCTGGGTTAAGAAGGGCAGATATGCTGCCCCGCTGGAGTAAGAAGGGCAGCAATTACTCAGCTGTGTTGTGGAAGGTTTTCATAGACTTTGATTGGGCGGCGGGTGGCAGTAGTCTTGTTCTGCGTTGGACCGGGTCATCTTGTGTAGAGCCACATGACGGCGCGCAGGCTGTACAGGAGGCTAGCCTGCATCTTGGCCTCCAGCACCATCAGATTCACATGCACCTATAAGCAGGAATCACAATCAATTAAAAAATCGGTCTTGAAATCAGACATCACTTAACTGTACACCGCATTTTGTCCCAATGAAAAGGGAAATGCCTAGTCTCATTTTGTACTGTCGCTGTATTTATAATGAGTGTGGAAATGTATCACTATACAGCAGCTCAACTCCTTACAAATAACCACATTTTGTAATGAAAATGTCGGGGGGGGGGGGGGGTGTTCAATGTAGAAAAACATTGTAAAGCATATATTTTGGTGAGTGAAAACCAAAAATCAGTTGAGAACCAGTGATGAGGAATCTATACGTATGCATGACATTTTAAATGGTATCCTGTTTTTTTTGCTGGGCAAACTTTGTGAGTTGAGTAAGTTCCTGTGCTTAACCCTTTGGTCGTTGTACCGCCCAAAACCGCCCTGCATATTACTCACTGCACCGCCCAAAACCGCCCTGCTTATTACTCACTGTAACGCCCAAAACCGGCCTGCATATTACTCACTGTAGTGCCTGAAACGGCCCAAGCACTTTATGGTATTAATACTTCACTGAATAAACACAATGTAATACACTGTAGTACAGGGCCCGATTTCATAGCGCTGCTTAACAGTAAGCAGAAAAGTTGTGCTTACTATAACAGAAAATCCTGCTGCTGCTTAAGTAAAATTTCATGCTAACGCTTGCGCGCACATGGAGATTTCTATTGTTACGTCACTGATTTAAGCAAAGTTTTCTTCTGGGGTTAAGCGTGCTTTTGCTGTGCTTACTGCTTAACGGTCCCTATGAAATAGATGGAGGCTCGGTAAGCACAAAGTCGGCTGTTAAGCAACGCTATGAAATTGGGCCCTGGTTCTAATGGGTTACCAAGCTGAATCAGAAATTGAGGTTCCAGATTTTGATAAGTACCTTTTCTTAATACACTGTAGTTCAGGTACTAATGGGTTACCAAGCTGAATCAGAAATTGAGGTTCCAGATTTTGATAAGTAGCTTTTCTTAATACACTGTAGTTCAGGTACTAATGGGTTACCAAGCTGAATCAGAAATTGAGGTTCCAGATTTTGATAAGTAGCTTTTCTTAATACACTGTAGTTCAGGTACTAATGGGTTACCAAGCTCAATCAGAAATTGAGGTTCCAGATTTTGGTAAGTACCTTTTCTTAATACACTGTAGTTCAGGTACTAATGGGCTACCAAGCTGAATCAGAAATTGAGGTTCCAGATTTTGATAAGTACCTTTTCTTAATACACTGTAGTTCAGGTACTAATGGGTTACCAAGCTGAATCAGAAATTGAGGTTCCAGATTTTGATAAGTACCTTTTCTTAATACACTGGAGTTCAGGTACTAATGGGTTACCAAGCTGAATCAGAAATTGAGGTTCCAGATTTTGATAAGTACCTTTTCTTAATACACTGTAGTTCAGGTACTAATGGGCTACCAAGCTGAATCAGAAATTGAGGTTCCAGATTTTGATAAGTACCTTTTCTTAATACACTGTAGTTCAGGTACTAATGGGTTACCAAGCTGAATCAGAAATTGAGGTTCCAGATTTTGATAAGTACCTTTTCTTAATACACTGTAGTTCAGGTACTAATGGGTTACCAAGCTGAATCAGAAATTGAGGTTCCAGATTTTGATAAGTACCTTTTCTTAATACACTGTAGTTCAGGTACTAATGGGTTACCAAGCTGAATCAGAAATTGAGGTTCCAGATTTTGATAAGTAGCTTTTCTTAATACACTGTAGTTCAGGTACTAATGGGTTACCAAGCTGAATCAGAAATTGAGGTTCCAGATTTTGATAAGTAGCTTTTCTTAATACACTGTAGTTCAGGTACTAATGGGTTACCAAGCTCAATCAGAAATTGAGGTTCCAGATTTTGGTAAGTACCTTTTCTTAATACACTGTAGTTCAGGTACTAATGGGCTACCAAGCTGAATCAGAAATTGAGGTTCCAGATTTTGATAAGTACCTTTTCTTAATACACTGTAGTTCAGGTACTAATGGGTTACCAAGCTGAATCAGAAATTGAGGTTCCAGATTTTGATAAGTACCTTTTCTTAATACACTGGAGTTCAGGTACTAATGGGTTACCAAGCTGAATCAGAAATTGAGGTTCCAGATTTTGATAAGTACCTTTTCTTAATACACTGTAGTTCAGGTACTAATGGGTTACCAAGCTGAATCAGAAATTGAGGTTCCAGATTTTGATAAGTACCTTTTCTTAATACACTGTAGTTCAGGTACTAATGGGTTAGCAAGCTCAATCAGAAATTGAAGTTCCAGATTTTGGCAAGTACCTTTTCCGAGTGTTTGAAATCCCTCCAGAATGACTCGTAGTGACTGACGGTGACTTTCTCCGGGTAGCAGCACACCGTCTTGATGTAGGTCTTCAGGGCACGGTCCATCAGTGAGTTGACTTCGCCGTAATCGTAGTCGTCGTGCCGGATGCCGAAGAGCGAGTGGATGTAGTTCCAGATGGCTCGTCGTAAGAGGGACGTGTCGACTTGCTCCTTCTTGCCCATACTGAGCGGAGGACAAAATCAAATTGGGGAAAATGAATTGCATGATTAGAGTTGGTTAGGGCTCGTCTCCATTCATATCCGGGCCAAGCTCCGGACAAGTTGCGGACATTGTAACGGGTATAAGTTGCAGGATTCTAAACAACTTCCCTGCAATCTTCCCGCAATGACGGTATCAGTATTGGTGAGTCAAACATTGCTCATGAACATTTTCCCGGAACATGTCCGGGACAAATGCAGATTTTCTCCAGAACAAAGTGGATAATTCTACCCGCGACTTGTCCGGAATTCGTCCAGGATATGAAGTGAGACAGGCTTTAATTACGTTAGAAAAATGCATGTTGCAAAAAAACTGTTTTTTTTTTGTTTAACAAGGAACATAAATTTTGTGACTTACGTGTTGTAGGTCAGGCTATAGGCGAGCCTGAACTTGTCATCCAGCATAGGCGCCACGTCTGGGTAGTAACGATTCAATAACGAGAAGCCTTGGTCCTCCCAAGAATAATCCTATGAGAAAAAATATTAAAAAAATCATTGAGTGTCTTGCCTTATGCTTATAGACTATGTCAAACCTCAATACTATGTTTTGCCCTTCACCATCACCGGACGCAAAATATGCCTTAATGCCGGGGTCATGTGATGTCGACTTTCAGCAAACTGTTCTTTTATGCACTTGCGTGTATAGATCTTGAATTATGAGTGTGAACATTTACTTTTTAATGTTTTTTATAGGAAAGAGAACTCAAGAAAGATGCCTGTCTGTTGCCTGTTGGCATGACGACACAGGTGACAAGGCATTCCCTGTAAAAGACCCAAAAGTAGGCATTGACCATTCTACCGTATCGGACGAACATCCGACAACAAAAATCTCTGGGCATGCTTTGCTCTCACAAGCCATTAAAAATAATTTCAAAATCCCCAAATTCTGACAAGCTTTATCGCCTCAAACGTTGGACCTGACAGTAAATTTGTGTCAACTCTTGTCACAGATGACTAAAGTCATTACAATCCTTTTGCTAAGTCATACCCTCTCCACCTTCAGATCATGACTAAGTGTTCCCCTAACCTACTCCCACTCCGCCCCTAGTCCCTTACCCTCAAGGCTGTGGGAAGAAGCCCAGGTCAAGGGCAAGCGATTGTTGATGTTGATTCCCCGAAGGACCTAACCTTTACTCAGCGAATTCTCAAACTCTGCAATTTCGATTCCGGTTTCGTTTTTCCTTGTAAACACCCACATGATTCTGATTAACGCCAAGTCCCTCTTGGGACCGAATGGCCCAATTTTGCGAGTGACGCTGCAGATTGGGCCCAGGAAAACTTGACAGTCCCATAAAGTCACAAGTATCCGATTCCAACATGAAGCAGGGACAGTTTTTATCTCTTTATCAAAGTGACCTCCAGCGACAAAAAGCAAGAAATCCACAAATGTGAAGACATACAACACCAACATTAATGTTTTCGTAAAACTCCCTGTTTGCAACTTAACTGCACTTTTTTTTATATTCTATAAAAACGAGAATGAGTTTTAGAGCAGTGTGATTCGATGGTTACGGTGTCCAACTCTTACGTAATGGTACGTTGGTTTGAACCCCAACAGGAACATGATGCCTGTGTTCTTGGGCAAGACACTTTACTACAATTGCCTCTGTTGAGCACAATGGACCCCTGGTTACGTATCCGACTCATGTGCAATGGCACATGGGGTTGAGCCCTAACAGAAAAACAGTATGCTTGTGTTCTTAGGCAAGACACTTTACTACAATCGGCTGTGTTGAGCACCACGGACCACTGGCTACGGTGTCTCCGACTCATGTGCAATGGTACGTGGGTTCGAACCCAGGCCAGGCAACATTATGCTTGTGTTCTTGGGCAAGCCACTTTATTGCAAATGCCTGGTTGAGCACTACGGACCAATGGTTACGGCGTCTGACTCATGTGTGATGGTACGTGGGATCGAAACCCAGGCCAGGCAACATTATGCTCGTGTTCTTGGGCAAGACACTCTACTCCAATAGCCTCTCTCCGCCCAGAAATAAAGATAGCTTTAAGGCTAGAGACCAGACTGTGCCGATCTCACGCCGCTGCAGAAAACAGCTCTAATGGCCTGATGAACAGGGGTAATAATTGGGAACCATTTTGAAACTTTGGTCAAGAGTACATTTTAAGCACCAAATTGTTAAGAAAACAAGATTATCTTTTTTTCCGCACCTGTGCTTTGAACGTGGGTATCTGCGAGACCTCTCCTCGCTTGGCAAAGTCCTTGTACTTGAAGTCCGGCTCGATAAGGTAGTGGGACAGATCCGACGTGTCCTGGCAGGGATCGTCACAGGGTGGCGACACTGTAAGATAACAGATTCATTTATGAATTCAAACATCCCTCAAAATCTAGGACAATAATATTAATGGTACACAAATGATCTCTATGTCTGTATGTCAAAGCTCAGCCGAAAAATTTCAATTCAATGGAATTAGACCATCACTCGGGACTAAGTAAGTACGCCAGTGAAGGGCAAAACCCAATACTGTATTAGCATCATTCCGGCGCAGATTCATCAATACGGTAAGCTCGTCCCCTCCCAAGAAGTCCTCTCGTACCGTCCCAGCTACCGGCCCAGGAGCTGGTCCGGTTGCTAATCAGGAACTCCTCTATCCTGGGGTCTATTGTTTGCAAGTATTGACACATGTAATATATCCCAGAAGAAACCCGCTTGTGGTTTTCATCTCTCAGTGCGAAACAATAGAACACTTTCGTCGGCACAGATCAAAACCCCTACCATGTGGTTTCGCGCACAATGGGACCGTAAATTACCAAGGCGTTATGGAAGGATTTTATCTTTAATCCAGTAAGTCTGCTATTGTTCTGCTCTGGACGTTCTCTGAAGGGCAATAAATTGATGCGCCTGACTGACTTCAAAACTTCTGGTCAGACAGGACCATGCACCGGACGAGACTGGGCTGAAGACCGGACTGGCTTTGGACCGGATGGGGTACCGGGGGGCCCTTTTCATACCAGGGCTGAATGGTCACGGTCCCTAATGAAGTAACTTTTGAAGTAAGGCTAACAAATGCACGGATCGTTCTCGGACTCCGTATCTGAACTTACATTCCACATTCTGCTTCTCCACCTTCTCAAATTTTTTCAGTTTTTCTTCTTGGGTTTCGTCGGGCTCCGATTGCTCCTCCAGCTCCCTCAGTTTCTGCATCAGCGCCTCAATGTTGCTACTCGCTCCTTCCGATTCCTGCAAGAGAAGTCCCAAAATACAAACCAAAAATTAGGATCAGGGTTTCCAGCACTTTATGAAAACAACATTCCCTGAGTTGTCCTCGATATTTCCTTGAGAGATTTCCGGAATTCCATGAGAAATATTTGCACTTGAACGAGGCTGCTTTGAATTCAAGATGTGGTTGCAGCAAAGCTACTAAGATGCTGATAATACACAGGCAACTGGTTGACAAGCGAGGGCCTCCCTTCTCCCTGTATGCTACGTGTAGTCAGTCAACGGACACAAGTTGGACACATGGCACGAGACGCACATATGCCAAACTGGCGAAAACCTTTCCCTTCTGGGTCACTGTCAAATTCCCTAAGATTTTCCCGATTCTTGGTGTTTTTTCCCCAAATTCTCAAAAACTAATTTCAAAATTTTCCCCGATTTCAAGAGTGGTTACATGTACATTCAAATATCAGGCAATCTTAAAAATGGGCCAAGAACTACATTACAAACAAAAGGCAACGCTCACATCTGAATAGTTGTTGTTGGACGGACTGCTCGGGTCGTCACCAAGCGAGGGTGGTCTGCAGGTGTGTCCACCCTCCATGTCGATCTCCGGGTTGACCCCACAGCCGAAGACCATCCCGGCCAGGGAGCTGAAGTGGGTGGTCAGTACGATGGCCTGGACAAGCTCCGATAACGCCCAACTCGACGGACCCTTCAAAAGATCCTGAAGATGGAAGCAAAAAGCAAAGAATATTTAGGAAAAAAAACCCCTACAGATTGACATCAATGAACCTTCCTGCTTGTTTATCAAACGGTGCATATTGACTAATAAGATCAGCAGTTTCGGTCAGGTGACAGTCAGGTGACGATCAAGCTCAGTCACAAGCACTGTGATGATGTACACAAACCAAAAAAGGGCGGAGTTTACGGCCAAATTTGGAACGGCCCATTCTCAGAGATGGCTTGCTGTATATGAAGTCATCAGAATTTTACAAAATTTAAAAACTTATTTTGAAATTGAACAACAAATTTGACTGCAGTGGGGTTTGAACCTGTGACCTCTGGATTGCAGGTCCGGTGCTCTACCAACTGAGCTATCCAGCCCTATGTTGGCGGTTCCCCATTTAGTCAATGTATGTGGTCAAGGGGCGCTAGTCAGAAGCCATAAACCCATGTGCGTATGCCATGTAGCCAGGGAACATGCCCAAAGTCAAATAAAAAACAAAATATGACCCAAACCTTCTGAGATCCTTCCAAATCCATGTGCCAATGGTTAAGACAATCAAGCCTGCATTTTTTTTTTAATGACTGGCAAAACACTCCCAGCGGCAAAAGAAAAAACTCTTAAGCTGTTAAAATTTCTAGATGTGAAAACTCCGGATGTCATTAAAAAGTCATAACACCCCCACAAGCCATATTGCTATCATTTTCTAATTCTCTTCCGAGAAATACCGGTGTGACCTTTTGATGTGCCAAAGGTTCTGCAACATTAGGAAATAAATTGGCAAGATAAATTGATAAATTTAAATGAGAGGTAAATCTAATGAAAGCTTTGGAAATATCAGGGGGCATGAGCAGACCATGTGGCAATCATACACTCAAACAGATTATATGCAGCCGAGTGCGAGAAGGACGAAAAACACACGTCATAATGCGCGCTCCTTAATATGGGAATGGAAATTTACAGAATGCGGAATGTGCTTAAATCTGAATCACAGAAAAATGAACATAAAAGTTTCAGTGCATTGTATGTAAATATAATGCATGTACATTTTTCAGTTCAATGCAGTGTTCAACATTCTGTAGTAATGTGTTGGGATTGTTAAAACCACACAGCACTGAGCAATGGCATGGTTTTGATGCATGCAATACTGGAATCATATACAAACATACATGAACATGTATGTACCTCTTTCATTTTGATAACTTCTACATTTTCTGGCAATCTGCAATCCAAAATGTGATGCTCATGTTCGTGGAGAAAACAATTTAAGAACTTTATTCTCCATAATTAAATTAGGTTTTCAAAAACCGAAAACCTTTTAATTCCACATCCGATTTCACACTTCAAAGGATATCAGTGGAACATATGCAAATTACTCAGAAAGCTTTTGGTCGGTCCACGTTTTTTGTCTTTTCTCAAAAACGACTCTGACCGTGCATACAGCCATATGACAGAGCCTAGATACGTCTACTGGATATGACCAAACTTTGGAAGAAACCCCACAAGCTGCTGATAAAATGGATTGTTTAACACCTCGCTCCCAAGAGTTTAAGTAGACTGAAATGCCAAATAGGTACAAATCTGTATTAGCCTAGGTAGTCTGCTCTTACATCTAAGTGTTCTTTGGTGATAAGCCATGGTTGGTGCACCAGAAGTTTGATGAGTTCGGCCAGTCGTCGGAGTTTGTCTGGGATGAAGGTCAACCCCCTCAGCCAGTCTGGGTCTCCCCCCTGAGCCAGGAACTCGTTCTCTTGTAACCTGACAATGTAGCTGCATTGGTGTCGCGCTGTGGCCTGCAAAATATCAAAATCATACTCACACAATCAATTTTGATCAACCAATCACTCAAAATCAATCAATCCATTTCAGTCCATTGATTTCAATCAATCAGTCCATTTCCATCAATTCATTTCAATCAATCCATCAGTTTCAATCCAACATTTAACCCTTACCCTACTTGACCCTCCAACGCATGCCAATATGTGCCTCAAGAAAATCTCCTATGTTTTTTGCATGGCCCTCCAATATCTGCCATGTCATTTCAAGGGTAACTGGACAGGCACTCCAATACATGCCACAGAGAACAATGAGAGTCCTTTGATAACAATCAAGTGCCCCCAGCTGGTCAGTATCAGGCACCCTCCAGGGCCTCCAACTCCTGCCAATTGGAGCCTTCACTGTTAAGACAAACTATCTGCCAAAAAACTGCAGCTGGAGGGCATTGGCATAACCAACTGACATGCAGTAAACTACCCTCAGAGAATATCAATATCAAAGAATCAATTTTAAACCATCATTTTCAAACCATCAATTTCAAACCATTACCGACGTATGAACACTGTATATTCAGTGTGCTACCTCCTGAAAATTCCATCTTAAAAATTCCATCTTATGAATATTTAATGCGGTACCCGCTGCTATGTACATCAGATTTGAACCAGCCAACCGATTCCGTTAGCTCGGTGGTCGAGTGGTAAGACATCTGCACTAGAAAGCAGGAGGTCGCGGGTTCGAGTCCTGCCCGAGTGATTTTTTCCAACTTTCACTCGGGAGGTAACACACTGAGTATACAGTGTTTATACGTCGGTGAAGGGCAAAACCTTATTTGATTTACATCACCCCAACGCAAAATTCCATCTTATGAAAATTTCAATCAATTGATTTCAATCAATCAATCATTTTTATGATATTTTCAGCTTACCGGTACTTTGACCTCATCGCATTCCTGACAGCTAATGGTCAGGATTAAGCAGATTTATTTGGCTTTCTGTTTTTTTGTACAAGTATCAGTAAGACTGATCTGGTGGCGCTTGTTATCGTTGACCTCATATTTTATAAAAATAGTAAACATATATTAACAAGCATATGCCATGCCAACAACTAAAGGGTCATGTTACTGGCAGAAAGCTTAGAATTACATGTACAACATCTGTAAAACAAAGTAGGCTGAATTACATGTAACTGACTAATGTGCAATTATAGATAATAGCAGAAAAACATCTGTAGTTGCTTGATCGATTGTCAGCTGAAAGTTGGACTGTTTTTGACATCAGAATTTTATTTCTACAGATGGAAGTGTCAGTGCAGGGCTATTTTTAGCTCCCTTGGTCCCGGTAGGTCGGGGCAAGATGTAACAACAAGGCTCAAGACTTTCTGGTGTGGAGCCAATCTCATTTCCATTAGAAATACATTCTGGGTTGCGCACGTGCATTCCAGCACTCGGGCAATGTCTGCCACAAGGGTCAACCGACCTTTCTAACTTAGTATTCTACAGTGCGCTATGCACGTACACGTTGTACTGCAGCACATGTTCATGTACTGTACATGTACATGCACACGTACACAAATACCGGTGGCTCTTTCTGTTTGCACTGCACAGGATCAGCCCACTACCAGCCCACCCCGGCCAGCCAATCAGAGGCCGCGCTTCACTGGGCATGCTCAGTGTCCCGGGTCCCTGATCCCCGTTGCCGGGGACGTCATTGCTATGATAACCCAATACCAGGGTTAGATCATAGGAGGGATTTATGACTTCGTGGGGAGGAAATATAATCTTTTAGTAACAAAGTACCAGTAAAATAAAGGATAACATGATAACCCGCCGGTACGTTTTATTGCGAGCATATTTACTGGCAGGCCCCCTTTCGAACAGGAAGTTTCTCGAAGGCAATATTAAGTTGCTGGCAGTGACATTTCAATTTGGTTCAAAGCTTTTTTTTGACATCAAATAAAAGATATATCAAAACCTCCATACTGAACCGACACAATATTTTTTCTTTTGCTGTGCATTCAGGGTTAAACTGTTGCTACAAAATGTTGTCCTTATGAAAATTGCAGAGTAGTGTTTTAAAAACAGGTGCGATCACAGGCGTATCTGAAGCAATTTTGGATTTATGAATTTTCTTTATCAAGCCTTTCATGAAGCCCTAGGCAGAGCATGACAGAAGACACGGTTGGGAGAAAACGAAAAAAAAATTCATGATCTCTCTCTCTCTCTGAACTTCCCAGAAGCTTCCTTGGGATCGATGGAACGGGGGAGAAGTTAAAACTCCTCTCCCCGATCGCATGCACGTTCCTGACGCAATGTGTCCCGAGGATAAATGTATAATGATTTCGAAAAGGGCAAAGTAAAGAATTATCTCTTACAAAAAGCGGGACCGCCCACTCGTAAACTGCTAATAGAATATCCGCTTTCCGATACAGAGCACAAATAAAAAATGGAGAAAATATCGGGGTTGATGAATTTGAAACGGGCCAGACTGCCAGCACTTTCACATAGGGCTGTAAAAATGTTACATGTAGGTCAAAGGATGTATGATTTAAAGAAAAATATACATAAAAATATCAATTTGAACACATGAAGAATATTAAAATTCAAATGGTCACATTCTAACTGTTTTGTTCATGGTAGTATTGTCTGTTGAAAACCAATTTCTTTTTCCAACAGTTATATAGATACTAGGCAGAGCTGTATAAACGGGCAAAATATGCCATTTGCACTAAAAAATACCCTATCATTTAAACACAGAGTTAGTTGTGCAATTGTGCGTACAGTTGTCAGATTTTCCAAGGTTGAAAAATAAATTTACAGTAAAGTTGACCCGTACTAAAGCTCAGGACTAGATAACAAATTATTCTAAAACTGAAAAAAAAAAACAAGGGGAAAAAAAAAAAATTAGGAAAAAACCCTAACAAAGCATCATGAGACAGCGATGTCAGTGTTCCAGGGATTTCGTCTGGAGCAAACAATAGGGGGCACCTTTGCTTTGACTGGAAGAGTCGGTCACGCATGGGGGACACATGACCTTGGCGCACACAAACAATGCACCAGAATGAATGGTTAGGGACAAAACTAGAAACTTCAAAATAAAAAGTGGCCCCCATTGTGAAATCTACCCCAGAGAATCTACAAATTGCAAATAATTGGCCATTTTATGGGGGCAGTGGTTTGACCTGGACTTTCAACAGGTTACATAAAGGTCGTACTGTGATCTGTTTCTCGGTCCAAAAAAAAGAAAAGAAAAGTTGATCGATGGAGAGGGTGTAGGGCTGTTGTGGTTTCTGTTTTTTGGGGTTTTTTTTTGCCGATTCTTTATCTATACATGTACCCTTGAGAAATTCACAGGCTTTTCAAGCAGACCCAGGTGAAAAAGTAGAAGAACAGTAGGATCAACATTTTCTTCAACAACAACAACAACAACAACAACAGGACATAAGTAGGACTTTGGAGGACTTTGTGATACATAACAGTGTGTAACACTGAGATGAAAAATTAGATTTTTATTTTTCGGAGTTGTGGACAAAAAAGCAGGAAAAAAGTAGCAATTTCAAGAAAAAGTAGGAAAAGTAGAAGCAAGGTAAAACAAACAAAAAAGTCGAAAAAGTAAAAATACTTGAAAGCCTGAATTTGGGGTGTAACAACTACACTGAATACTTTCAGTGTAGTTATTAAATTCAGTATAGAATTTCAGTATAGAATTTCCATCTTTTGAGTCAAGAATAAAATATGATTTACCTTGCAAAGATTTATTCTTTTTTTTTTGACAGGTTTTTTAATAGTTACTGTACCATTATTGTGATGAAGTGTCTCTAGTTAAAAGTAACAAAAAATGGTTATTGCAAAAATTTTGCTCAATTTTTAAGAAAAATTATAGTTACCATTATTGCGATGAAGTGTCTGTAGTGAAACGGTAAGGGGCCGTCCCCCCGTAACATGAAGTCTTGGGTCCGGAGGAACGCTTCTAGGTAGCTGGGGTGTAAGCCCATGACCGTCGTCAAATGGTCTAACCGATTGCTCTGAAGGAAGACGTCGATGAATAAATCTTTCGCCTGGTAAATAAACAAATAAACAACAAACAAATATGTAAATAAACAATTTTACATGCTGCTACTGGTATCAATTTGTGAGGGCTGAAAGCTTCTCTTACTTGTAATAAGGTGGACATTTTTTGAAGTTCATTTGAGGAGCCTTTGGAAACTGATTTCGTTACTTGAGATTTTAGGTTTATAAGGCAAATAACAGCCTGTAATTGTTTTATGATTCACCTAAAAAACAAATGTCACGTGTATGTTAGGAAAATATTGAACTTGTAATGCTTCATTGGACTAAATTTACAGAAGGTCAAGAAAAGTTTGTATTTTGCTGTGAATCAATAATAAAAAGAATACAAGCAACTCTTGTATTCAAATTTTTAGGGTAAAAAAATTCAAAGAGTCAAGACTGTTTTATGAGTATGCCTACATATGTACATTGCTGTAATCTGAGTCCTTTCAAAACTTTCCTTTTTTTTTTTTTAACTGAATTCCATTCTTGGCTTTAATTTTTAAGCAAGACCCATCGCAAATAATCGGCTCTTGAACATTCCAACCACCCTCTTCAGCATTCCACCCACCATTAACAACAGAGTCTTAAAGAGGTTGTGGAATGCTTGAAGACATTTCCATCATTTTTCGGGTATATGTAGCCTAAGGTGTAATGAAATAAAAACGACTATTGTGTCTGTCATGAAATGAGTACAAAAGGTACTTTTGAGAGCTGTTTTTCAGGTCCTGTTTCGACCCGAACGTGCAATTTGTGTAAAAGTCATCGTTGGGGGCAGCAAACAAAACAGAGTAAATCATGACGTAATAAACAGGACTCCCGATGCAGGGTAGTATAAACGAGTCCTGTTTACGACACGATTTATTATGTTTTGTTTGCTGCCCCCAACGACGACTTTTACACAAATTGCACGTTCGGGTCGAAACAGGAACCTGAAAAACAGCTCTCAAAAGTACCTTTTGTACTCATTTCATGACAGACACAATAGTCGTTTTTATTTCATCACACCTTAGGCTACATATACCTGAAAAATGACGGAAATGTCTTCGAGCATTCCACAACCTCTTTAGAAGTGTGTTCGGCTATTTTGGGCACACGGGTAAAAGGCATAGATCTGCGGTTGGGCAATATATCTTTTTATGAAAATTTGTCAGGTCCCCGTTAATGTCGTTTTGACAAACACAATGGCCCTATAGATCTATGCTACACTCTACAAGCATCGTTTGTTTGTATTAAATCAATATAGAGAATGGCCAATATTGCAGCTACTGATGTATGGTTGTAACAATGACGCAGCACTAAGAGTGGTAAAGCCTATGTATGCACAAGCCACATTGATACGATCATCTACCGGTAGTCACATTTTGGAGGCTAGACAGCTGAGGAGTCTAATGCCCACCTGTCAACTTTGTAGATAATAAACTCCTTTTGACTTAGACAATCTTTGGGGCGCGATGGAACTCGCAGACTTTGTGCCCAATCATGGCCCAGTTCCGAGACGGGTTAATATTATCAAATTAGAGTAGATCTTAATTCAGTTTTATCACGAGCCCTTTGTACTTGGATGAGACAACTTTTGGACGCACTTTAAATTGATAACTAAAAAAAGAGAGTTCTTTCACAAGATTAATATTTTTATCAAGGCTGTAATTTTGACCGTAATTACAAAGGCCAAGAATACATGAGTTAGCAGAATTAAAAACGATAATTATCAAAGTGAGCCCTTTGTACTTCGATGAGACAACAATTATCGTAATTGAAATTGTCTACTAAAAAAGTATCGATTCACCAGATAATTTTTTTTTATCAAAATGTAATGTTGGCTGTAACACAAAGGTCAAGAATACATGAGTTAACAAAATTACAATCGATTATTAGCCGATTTCAACCCAAACTTCCAGGGCATCTATATCTGTATGGACAATGCTAATAGAGAATTCTTGCTAAATTTTACATTGTTGGCAATGCTGGAGTAAATAACTAGATTGTTTTTCAACATTTTTAAAGAAAGTTGGAATATTGTTTTTGTCTTACCTTTTCATCTCGTCCGTTCTGCGCAGCTGCAAACTGCAATGGAGGATAGAGAACAGAATGATTGAATTTCTCAAATCTCATCATGTAAACCTATCCAGTTTAAAAATTTGCAATACCATATTGCGCAACTTCGAGTGTTGATCAAGGTCTTTCCCCTTATGTAATAGTGGTGGATATGTACTGAAAGGAACAATGCCCGGTACGGTACGTACGTGTACACTTTCAGGATGTAAAGTACGTGTCACATAAAAAAAAGTCAAGTTTTAACAACCTTCACAGGTAGAACCAGACTAGCTGGCTTGCGCCTGATCATGGATGCGTAACCGATTGCAAACAAAATGTGGACTAAACTAAATTTTGTGGAGGTAATAGTTGAACAAAATTTCAAACTATGGTCGGCCGACCATCATTGGAAAATGATACAAACATTTCCACTTTTCTTGAAAATGACAGCACACCAGGAGCCATGATTTCACAGGATGCTTAAGTTTAACTTTATAACAGTCAAGTAAGTTACAATGTATTTCACAATAATTCGGTGATGGTTTTTTTTCCGGTAGTTTGCAAATGTTGTATACATATTACCTTTAATCCAAACCATGCTACACGTAAATTTATATGTAACAATATCTGACAATGAGCAATACAAACTGGTCTCTGTTGATAATAAGGTGAACATTAGACCTTATTGTCCCGATACTGGATTCTGTTCAGCAGGTACCGGTATACGCTATGCTGTTGTTCGATTCTTCTAGATTCAGTGAGGGCCATCACAAAAATTGACAGGGGTGTTAACAACCAAACCCTGTAACTTGTCAGGTCCTGGTACAATCAGAACAATCGAGTGAGTTAAGGAAATGGTACTAAAAACCACACCGGAAACTTTGTGGGGAAATTCTGTCCGCTTCCTTTTGACATTTTCAACTTGAAAATTGCTGATTGACCCAATAGCCCAATTTACTGCCCCAAAGCGCCCTTCCTGTTACTCCTCATATCGCCTCAAAAACTGAAAATTGGTCAACCCCGCGTCAACCCCGAGATCGATTTTGCTCCAGGTTGAACTCAACCCTGCTCCAGAACAGGGTTGAGATTTTCTATCCAGGTTGAAACTCTCGCCAGGGTTCAAAAACGATAGTAACCGAGCGAAATAATGTAAGCTTGGTTTGTACGAAACAAGTGGGAAACGGTGCGGGGTTGAATGCAGGGTTGAAACTCAAAAACTCAACCCGGGGCAGCACAAGGTTCACCCAGGGTTGAGTTCAACCCGGGTAGAGAGGCTCCAGTGTGAACCTTTTCACTATACAACCTCTGGTTTTATGGAGGAGTAAATACAATGTAATACATTTTAATACAATTGCTAAAAGGTTACCTTTCACACGAACATTTTTGAAATAGCTGTAAATTACCTAATTCTAAAAATGTTCTCCACAATGCTGGGGGAACTGGAAATGCTAACTGAAATATTCAATGTTGCAAACAAACCAATAAAATAAAGTTGAAAATGAAACTAAACAATTCAAGTTTCGGAGTAAGATAAATTTTATCTGTAGTTTATGAAGAAAGTATGCATTGTTGAAACTTACGGGTGTATACAACACAGCCACAAAAGAGAAACAATGTCGAATATCATAAACACATAAAAAAATACACGCAAAAATTTTTATCTGATCGTGCTGATAGAGAAAATAGGCAAATCAAATAATAAATAGTTTCACTGCACCACTATTTACAAAAATGTATAAACATAAAAAGATCACATTCTTGAAAAATTGTTGGCAGTTAACTTAGATCGCAACCTGACGCAACACAGTATCAAATTCATCCCCTGAATCTTGTTTGGACCACGGCAAAAAAGAAGAAGCAGTCTCACTAATGGACCGAGTGCTTTATCAAATTACAATATATACAATGTAAAGTCACCACCATACACAAGTATGGGTAGAAGACACACTGTCCAGACAAAATGCTAGCAAAACGTCTTTTACAAATTCTGTCAAGAAGGAACAGATACTCTAGCCCACTTCCCGAAGAATTTCTGAATCGAACGAAAAACTCGACAAAAAACACTCACCAATTTTAAAATAGTATGCATCCAGGAGCTAGTGTGCCTCGTCGCAACAACCGTATGTCTTTCTAATGTCATTTTCATTAATGTTACATGTCGGTCGGACTCGCAGTCAGTATAAAATCTCTACATCACGACTGCAGCAGAGAGTTGGCCACACTGACAAAGCCAAAGATGACAAACTTTTCCCCGTCCAGGTCTCGTCTTAAAACAAGGCAGAGGGATTAAAAATAAAACTGCCAGAAGTTGACTTCGGGACAAACCACCACTAAAAAAAAAAAAGTCCGGCCCGAACAGCTGATGAGCGGCAAATGTCAAGGAAATGCTTGGTCATATGGGCTTTTATACCGGTACAATAAGCATTGTCAACTTTGCTAGGGGGAGGGGAGCGTAGGGAAAAAGGGGGAACCTGGTTGAAACTGGGGACTAGTTAATCTATCCCACGCATGAGTGAGGCCAATAAAGTCAACCGCACAGGAAAGGCGGCGAGATCCCGCAAGAGTTGGCATTTGAATGCTGCCTGAACAGCTGTTGGAGACGAGCAGATTTCCGCAACTTGGTCAAAGCAAAAAAAAGCAACTGTTGCTTTGCTCGGGCCAAAAAGGAATCTTTTAACCTCAAACCTCCAAAATCTTTCAAAATCTACAGTGGGGCTTTAAAGGAATGTCTCCTTTGATTCCTGCCTAGTGGCGGTTTTGAAGGATTTGGGGAGATTTTTGACCAAAACCAAAAAAAAAAAACAACACAATTTTGGATAAAGCAGAAAAATTATGTTTCATTTGATTCCTGTTCAAGTGGTGGTGTTGAAAGATTTGGGAAGATTTCTGACCAAAAGAAAAAAATACAAGATTTTGGAGAAAAAAAAACCCAGAAAAAAACAATGAACCAAGCTAGAATCTGTAGACAATGTTCTGTGTTCTGTAGACTACAAGTACAAGTACATATTCTTCAAAATGGCAAAACGAGAATTTAAAATAAGGTTAAATGGGACACAAAGGTGCATTTTCAAGGATAGTATTAAAAAACTACGTTGCATGGCCCCTTCCCATGGTTTGGTTTTGGATTTGTTGTAACAAGCTTGGTATTACATGTCATAATAATTTGATATTTTTTCAAATGGCTACTTTACTTAATAATTTCTTAAACCGCAAAACGTGATACAAGCACAAGTCTGTAAGTACATACCGTACACACAACCGGATCAAATTCCTAATCCCGATAAACCCCGAGGCTCTGTTTTCCCTACGTTGGCCACCAACAAAATACTTCTTCATGACACCATATCTCCGCCCTCCCAAAAATATTTCTCTTGGTCGAATGCCAAGCCAACATTCTTTCCATTTATCTCAATCGCTCTGGCTGCGTACAAAACCATGGCAGGTGTTCTTTGGGCATCTGGGTAGATTTTTTTTTTTTCTCCAAGGCACAACCCCGGAAGGAATGATGCAATCACATCACCGTGATTAACTAACGATTAGGACGAAGCTTCGATCGTCAGCGACCCCGTGTTTACGTCAAACTAGGCCACCAGGGGGTGTGTCCTTATTTTTTTTTTTTTAACTAGGACCCTCTACTGTCTACGCACATCAGGTGATATGCTGCGTTTACGCATACCTGGCCCGCAACAAAGAAATATCGGAATGAAAAGAACATGGATACAAAGGAATGCTGCGAGTATTGCATCATCATATTTTATAGCTGCTATAAAGTACATTGTACAGACCATGATTTCAGTTCTGGCTACATATTTCTGAATCGTCAAGCTTTTGTTCATTGAAAGGCATTTGGGATCATTTACTCTTCAATGGATTTTGTTCATTTCCAATAATAACACCGCTCAAAATCCAAAGAAGAATGCTCAAAAGCTAACCTGTTGAAGTTTCAGTGAGAAACCATGATCAATATTTGATCACGAAACACAACTTCGTCAATAACCAGGTCTTCATTTCCCAAAACGTCACTTGACTGATCGTTGGAAATCAACGACAATTCTTGATTTCTTCTAAATGACAGCAAGCCAGATGGCATAAGTTCACAGGGTGTTTAGTACCAGTACAATCTTTTAATCCAAGTAAGCTTTTTGGTTATAATTTGGTAGGTTACTTCACGGATAAATGCAAATGTCTTAGTTTAAACTTGACACAATTTGGGTCATCGGGTCTCATGTAAAATTGAAATATGACAAAACGAGATGTCGAAGTGGGGTATTTGGGTCTACCTCGATCACTGGACTACCACCAGTATTTTTTGGCAAAAGTTCATTTCAAATGAACCCTATATTTTTTTGTACGTGTAAGTCACAGCAAATTTGCATGATACCAGGAAAAAACTGGCCTCTCAAAGACATTAAGCTTTAGCAAAGTTGAAAGGTCTTTGACCAAAAAAACTGTCCAGACCTGATTAAAAAGCAACGTTCCATTCATGTCGGCCTTGCCCTTGCTTATACTGTTGCATGAATGCACAGCTGAATGTCAACAATCGATGTTCCCTGTCTCAGCATGATGGGGTTTGATGTATGTAGGTTCCCACCGTTAAATAGGCCAAGGTCGAATTAATTTGGCCAAGGATATCACAACATCCTAGGCTGATCGTTTTTTCCCTTTCATTTCACCCAAGTCTTGATGTCAGTGATCTTGACAAGACTGTCAACTCATGCTGCTTTCATGTTAACGTTGGGTAGAGTTAATCTTGACAGACACTTTGACAATTTTTTTCCTTTCTATCTCTGACGACGACATCACACCATTATTTATGACAAGGTTATTCCTCAGTGGCTTTTTCAAAAAAATCTTTCGAAAGTTTCGACACACATTCTTCTTTCTAAAAGGTAAGACAGTTTATCTCAAATTCTCAACATGTAGATTTATGATCTAAAATCGTGACTACAGAATTATCACAATGGAGGAATAAGAACCACATTTTCACTAAGTGGAACATTGTCAAAAACCAGCAGGTTTTGTGACTTTAA